AGGGGCTTTTTATCACTTGTGCCCCCAATCCTGCCTCTCTTTTGGTTTCCATACTGCCGTTCCCACGTTCTTTCTCATGCCTTCTGCCTCCACCAAGATGTCATGAAACTCGCATGTGCTGACATTACTTTTAACCGCGTGTATCCAGTTGTTTTGGTTGCCCTGACTTTCTTCCTTGATGCTCTCATCATTGTCTTTTCCTATGTCCTCATTCTGAGGACAGTTATGGACATCACCTCTGGAGAGGAGAGAGCAAAGGCTCTTAACACCTGTGTCTCCCACATTATCTGTGTCCTGGTCTTTTACATCACTGTGATTGGCCTGACCTTCATTCACAGGTTTGGAAAGCATGCCCCCCATGTGGTGCACATTACCATGAGCTATGTCTACTTTCTCTTTCCTCCGTTTATGAACCCCATCATTTACAGCATCAAGACCAAGCAGATTCAGAGGAGCATTCTCCGTCTACTATCTGCATAAGATGATGTGAATCATTACATCATAATCTAGAGAATTTGGGAGATTTTTCAGCCTTCAGTATATTGAAAAAGAACTTGATTTTAAATCTATTTACTTCTTTATAGCATTAAGGTATACATTATTACATAAAGCTATATATTAATCTAAATTATGAATATACCTGGCTATTCAATTAGCATTTACATAGTATATAGATTCCAAAATCAATCAGTCAGTGAATTAATCAATTTTTCTATCTATCCATCTATCATCTGTCTGTCTGTCTACCTTGAGAGAAGGCTCGAAAAACAGTAGGGAAGTAAAATATCATTGTTTGGAAATAAAGAACATTAAATACTCTATGAACAAATTCTACGTGATCAGGATCATGTGTCTATAAGAGAAGAACCATTTCCAAAGAAGTTAAGTGTCCAGCCTGGGTCAGTGACAGCAAAACGAGGGGCAATTTTGAATATCTTTGATGGCTGTATAAATGTCAGTTCAACTATGAGAACTGAAACTCAGTGGACTCTTCCCTGTCTCAAACTGCTCTGTCTCACCACATGGTTTTCATCTGAAATGATTCAATAGCCGTTTGTAAAGTTTATCCTGTTTTATCCTGAAATTTATTCATTGACATTTTATTTCCTTTGTTTTATACTGTATCCTGTGACTGTACTTTAATGAAATGTATTCTTTTGTATATTAGTTTTAGGTACCAATAATAAATTAGAAAACAGACTCTCTCCTGTAGTCTATGTCCTTCTCCGCAGTGAGGCCCCTTTGAGACACTCTTTTTTTCTCAGAACCCTCTGTACTCATCACACAGGCCATACAGACTCAGCATCTCTACCTGAGTTCTTACAAAGCACTATGAGTTTTCCGTCTCCATAGCTTTGGACTGTTTTCATTTTTCTGTTTTAATTCTTTCAGTGACTTCTAACTTTTACTTCTTTTTCTTATATTTTTATTTCTGCTCTATAATTTACTAGTCTGTCTTACAAATAATACTATTTTATTCCATAAATGCAAACCTTACATTAAAATATTTCTTATTCTTTTTTCCCACCTTTGAGATATTGCCAACATACCTTATCTTTATATAGGTTATTCCCTAAACACCATCATACTACTTCTGCCTTACACAATTATCTTTTAGAATATTAACAAAAAATGTATGCCAATTTACTTTTTCAAACTAACTTCCTACTCTTTATTACTTTACATGCATGTTTATTTCTAAATGCTTAAACAAAAATATTTATCTGAAAAGTGAAATGTAACCTTATATTGTAATTTTGTGCAGTCAGTTTGATTTTTATTCATTTGTAATATGTATATAATTGTACAGATTCGTGGAATACTGTGTGCTATTTCGATCTAAGTGTCAAATGCTTCGATTAAGTCAGAGTAATTATCATATTCATGTTGGTAATTGTCTTGTCTTGCAGCCATTCAAAAATATTTTCCTAATTACTTGGTAACATATAATAACTGCTTATTATCATTATACTGTATGTGGCATAGAACTTTAGAATATATTCATCTTGTCATTTCATCCCTTACCACATACTTTTCTCTTCTTTATACTTCAACAATTGTTTGTTTTCACCATAAGTAAATCCTATCTTAAACATTTTGCTGATCGCAATTTATATTCTTTTTCCCCTTTTTTAACTGATTTGTAATGAGCTCATTATTTAGTGTCTCTCAAACTTTAACTATATCATAAATACTTTATCATACTTTGATTGCTGTTCTAAATGCATAACTTAAAATTGTGTGTGTGTGTGTGTGCGTGTGTGTATTTGTATTCACTTTATTGAAATAGATAGTGGAGCCTTGCATTAAGGGTCTTTATGGAGCACAGGCTTATTTTAAATCATTCTTATCCTTTTTCATAATTATTATACACATTTTATGAAAAACTAAGTTCATATTTGGAGAGGTATAAATATTTGAGTCAGCCTTTATATGCTTATTTTCATGAAAGTTTCACTGACATTCGCTATTTATTAATAAAAAAAAGATTGTGAGTCTCAAAAGTGGGTACATGCTGGTTTGAGGAAAGAGTAAATTTTACTAAGGGTTTGTTCTTTAAGCACAGATGCATAAGAAATTGCATCAAGAGCTAACTGGTGTTAATGAGTCCAAGAATCTTCTAAGAGCAAAGCATTACACGCAAGAACTTCATGTTGGCTGGGTCGTCATAGGCTATAGAAAGAAGGAACAGAGGTATATTGGTGTTCTCAAATCATATGAGTGTTGACAATAATGGATTTGAGTGATGTAAGAGGAGGGTAGGCATGAGAGAGGTCAGAGGAGACTGAGCTAAAGGTAACAGTAACTTAGCTTACAAAAGTGGAATGGGAAGTTAATAGGTTGATATATTAGGATCTGAATTCATAAGAGCTCAGGGAACTAAAAAAATCTATTCTTGATTATTTTCTTTCATATAAGGAAAAAATAACTGAGTCACATTGTAAAATGCAAATAAACAACTTAGCTTTAATAATGAAGAGACTTGACACTAGCATGTATGCAAAGGTAAACATGTAGTTGTATCTTTGTTTATGAATGTACATTGATTGTATGGAGGAAATAATACCATCCTTAATCCTGTACTTTCTGACTTCAAACTTTCTTCTTCTTTTTTAAAAAGGTATTTTTATTACTTTTTAAATTTTTTGTACATTTAAAGAATGTGTTATAATTATATCTAACTCCCCCTAGTCCTTCCTTCAAAATGTTCCTCTTGCAGCTTCCCATTGTCTTCTTCTCTTAAAAAAATGTATCTTAATGCCAGTTCATTCTACCTATGTAAACATGGCATATGGGGCTACCCACTGGAGCATATGCAACTAGTAGTGGCCAAAATCTCAAACGAAAATAATTCTTCTTTCTCCAGACATCAGACACTGTTGAGAGTTCAAGGTGAAGCTTTGTGAGACTCTCTCCATCCATATGTGAATTTTGACTGGCTTAATCTTGTATAGATCTTTTCATTAGTTTTCACAATAAATTTTATGAATGAATTTAGTCTGTTCAATTTTCTGTGCTTTTTATAAAATACTTTTATACAATACATTTTGAACATATTATTCCCCCAACTCCTCCCAGATCCTGTTTCCTCAAACAAAACAAACAACAAGAAACAACAATAATCAAATCAGACAAACAAATGAAAACAAAAAGACAAAATAAATTCAAAAATCTCACAAAAACCAGGGAGTCCATTTTGTGTTAGTGAGCTACTCATGGGCATTGAGCCTGTTCTGGAGTGTGGTTAGAGGACACTGATTTTCTCTTTCCTAGTAGGTGTCAATTGTAAATGACTTCTGGGTTGGGGTGGGAATTTGTGTTGCTGCTCTTCTTCCTGCTCGGATGTTGTCTGGCTTAAATCCGTGCAGGCTCTGTGCATGTTGTCACAGTCTTGGAGCTCACATATGCATAAGCCGTGCTGTTTGTAAGACGCTGTCTCCTGGAGCCATCTACTACCACTAGCTCTCACAATCTTTCTGCCTCTTCTGCAGCATAGATTTCTGAGCTCTGTATGGAGGTGTTTGATAAGGGCATCAAGAACTGCATGCTCCAAACTCACTCACTCTCTGAATATTGTCCAGTTGTTCTCTGTGTTAGCTACCATCTACTGTAGGACTAAGCTTCTCTGATAGTTGATCAGTGATGTACTTTCCTGGGTCCTGCACACGTGTGAGCTGTTGACTGCTTAAAATGACATTATATGTCTATATAAAATATGATTTACCATTTGATTTTTCTCAAAGTATACAATTCAGAGCAATGTTGTATAATAAACACTGTTATTTCTAAAAGTTTTGCATTTCACTGTACTAAAAAGAAACTTCATGTTTTTTCATGGTATTTCCTTAGTCCACTTTTTCTCCTAGACTTTCTAATTTGTTTTTAGTTCTCTCTCTCTCTCTCTTTCTCTCTCTCTCTCTCTCTCTCTCCCTCCCTCCCTCCCTTGCTTCCTCCCTCCCTCCCTCCCTCCCTCCCCCAATATGGCTCTATTTATAACAATGCAACTTTAAGTTATCAGTAATATAACTTATAAGACAATGCCAAGGGAGTTTAATCTATTTTACACATGGTAGCTCAACAGAGCAGATGGGTCATGATTTGAGGATAGGTATGCCTTGGGAGTATTATTCGACTCTACATAAGTCGATTCACATAGTTCTTCTTTGTATATAGCTCATCTTAGGAAAATTTTATATGTTCATCTACGTTGTAGCACATGTCAGACATTCATTGTTTTGTTGACTAAACAATATTTAATCACTAAAATATCTTACATGGACTGCTAAGATATCTCAGTGGATAAAGGTGCTTGCTACTGCCAAGCCTGATCCTTATGAGTCACGTAGTGGAATAGAAACAACCACAACAAGCTGTCTTCTGAATTTCACCATTCACCATATCATGTGTGCAACACCCACAATCAAATAAATAATGTAGTAAAGTATACATACATATTTGCATTTATATATGTATATGAGTGCAATTTCTATCAATGTGGTAATTTTATGTTTAACTCTTTGAGAAGGCTCTACATCATTTCTCTAACTGTTGCATCACTTTACAGTTTTACTGTAACCATATGCTCATCAACATTTGTTATTTTGTTAACAGTCAGTTTAGGTGACACACTGTGTTGTCTCACTGTGATTTAGGTTTGGTGTTCTCAAATAAATAATGATGATGAAAATCTTTTCATGTGATTATTGGTTATTTGTGTACGTTCTTTGGATAAACCTGCACTGAATTATTTTAAAACCAATCCATGCAGATGTCTGTTTAAATTTCCCCCTCGTCTAAGTCTGGAGATTCCTTGGACTCTGATTGGCACAACAACTTCTAACACAGGCTTAAGCTTGACAAATCTTACCATGGAGAGGGGAAGCTGACATAAAGTCCCAACCAAAGCCAAGAGACTACTGACTACTGCTGGGAGAACATCTGTAAACGCTAGTTTTAAGAATGTTGCCACTTGCAGATCA